AATAATAATTATTATATACTAGATTTCAAAAAGTGAAGAAATATAATACTTCATATGATTAATAATTCAATTAAATAATACTTTATAGATTTAAAATAATTTATTAAAATTTAGCTAGTATCTTTTCACACGCATAAGAAAGATTAAATAATTCTGAAAATATTTCTCAAATTCTGCCAACAAACAGGATTATTTATTTCAAAAAATTGGAAATGTTGCAATAACAAGAAGCCCCACACAAAAAATGAAATCATCATTTTTTATTCTTTTTATGAGTAGCACCCACAAAAGCACTAAACACTAATGAAGTAATATTTAAATTACCAAGATCAAAATTTCATTTTCTGAAGATATAAGATGTTTTGTCTCAGCCAACAAATTACAAACATTTATAAATATTTTGCTTCAAACTACTCAAATAAGAATTTTTGAAGCTTTCAAAATTAAATATTGTAAATTTTTCAATTAAACATTAATTAATTTGTATATGAAAATTTTAAAATTATTGATATATTATAAATATTTTGTCAGTTCAATATTAAGTATATTAACTGCTTGAAAAAAAAGTTTTTTTTACAAAATTGTGTTTTCTTCAACTAAATTTTAAAATATTCAATGTTTGTTTGGCTTATTTAAAACTATTAATTATTTTTGCAATTTGTATTAAATTTACTATATTCTTTATTCATATTTTAAGTACACTAAATTAAATTACATTATTTTCAAATTTTGCTGATGTTAGATCTGACACTCAAAGAATTAGAAAGCATAAATTAATAATAAAATTAAGTTCTGATTAAAATTTAAAAAAATCAGTGTAAGCAAAGAATAGAAAACAAATATTCTTGTAGATCAAGTCACATTCTGATGACCGAAACAAAACATTAATATAAATCAGATATATAAATGCTTAATAATGTTTATATTTAATATAATTATAATAATCTAAATATTTATACAATACTAATTTTTCTATAACAGCACATTATGTGCATTTTAAAAATATTTGAATGTTCAAAGAAATATTTGTGTATCTTGTAAGATTTGCAATTTCATTTCAGTGTTTACTAAACATTTCAAAGTTATTTAGTAAGGAATCAAATAAAAAATTAATTAATAGCAACTAGACTATCTTGCTGCTAAATTTTTCCATTTTCACATAATGTAATGGTCTAAATTTGACATCAACATTTAAAAAATTTTATATAAATATAACATTTTATCATCATGATGTCAATTAATATCTATTTGATCAATCAACAACTTAAAAAATGTAATAGTTATTATAAAACAGATGCAAAATTGAACTAAATATTTTCTTTGTTGACAAGACTGTCTTGTGTATAGAATTGCCCTGCTGTCAACAGCTGGACACCTTAGAGGTATGAAGGAGTACATGTCGAGTTGCAATTTGGCACAGAGTATTTGGTGTCCAAATCATGCACGCATAAAAAAAAACCAGACTTGTAGGTACTCAGGGGACTGAGAACCAAGTCAAAATAAAATACAAAATGGCAACACACTTTCTACAAGCAGGCAAGAGTATGAGATTTACACATGTGTTGCTTGTTGGGAAGCTGGAAATGCAAACGTTGAGAAATTGAATTTTGACAAACAAAGCTTTGAAAAAATCCATTTACCTCTCTGGTTACAACCTGCTGACCTTGACTGGTTGACCCTAGATATCTCGTTTCAGCATCGAAATGTTTTTGAAACTAGTATAATTTTATATTAAAACTAACTTCTGAAATATAATTTTTTGTTTTTACATTTATTAATATATTTATTTTGTTTGTGCAAATAAAAAAATAATTTTAGATGATACAATCGCCACGATTATTTTTTCAAAAATGGGAAATTTTCTTTTAGGCATCGACAAAAATTCAACCTGGGGTGGCATGCAACAGAGAGAAATTTCGACATTGGATCGGTTAATTTCACCAGAAATGCATTGCGGATGACCCCGTGGGCGGCAAAGTTTGAATGATCGCGCTCAAAACCAGTGATACCAAAGAAGATTGGAGAATGAGACATGCCGCAAGCATTAAAGTGATCCTGCTTAGTAGTGAGTCTCCGTGTCATAGTCTTGTCCAAAAAATAACCTTGCTGTTTTACTTGTTTTTTGGATGAATTCAAGTATCACTAATAACAATGCTGCTTAATTTTGCTTAATCACTCTATTGAGAAATAAAACTGAACTTGCAAAATTAATTTTAATGAATTCAGATGAAACTGTTGAAAAAAATTTAATAGATATAAATTCATTTTATCTTTCACTTTCATTAGAATTTTTGTTTACTGATAATTTAAACATGAAAATCACTAATTTTTCACATAAAACTTGCTATTGGTGCTAGATTTTAAAATTTTGCTCTAGTCGGCCATATTTAATTGATAATTTATTTTTTCACACAACACATACAATAAATAACTATTAATATGCAATAATTAGAAATATTTAAAATTTTTTATATATAATTATATTAATGAAAAGTTTACTTTGATTTAAATAAGTAGCTCAAATTATTAACAGTTGGGATGTAACTTGTTTATCATCTTTAAAATAAAATACTCATTTGAGTATTTTTATTCACTTTTCAATTCTGAAGTGGCAGTTTACATATAACTTTTTTAAATAGTAAAATAATTGATTTATAAGGTAAGTAACATACAACAGTAAAAAAACAACAATAATAGTAAAACTAAAATTTTGGAAAAATTTCAATAAATATAGAAAAATTTTTTACTTGCTTAAAAATACTTTAAAATTAAAATTTTACAAAGTTTTTGGAAATTATTGAAATAATAAACTTCAGTTCAAATAATTTAAATTTTAGTTTAATAAAATCAGTAATAAAATTTTTTTTGATTACTTAAGAGAAATAAATCTTTAAATTATAGAATGCCATAATATAGAAACACTATTGTACATTATATTGTATCAAGTTTTGTATATTTTGCTGTAATAGATAAGAAAGATGTGATTATTTTACACACTAAATTTTTTTAGATGCTAGAAGTAAAGATTTCCATTAAATTTGAAAACACAAAATTGGAATTCAACCTTTTTTTTTGACTATATAATAATCAATCCTGCACTGTATTGAGCCACATTGAGATTATAGTGTATCAAGTTTACATGTATATGACAATTTGCTATATTAAATAGAAAGTTCTAGACAACAACTATTTTTAATATATTTAATTTTTTTACAACAAAATTATTAATATTTACTTCTCAATTACTAACTTTAGTTTATTTCTACTTACTTTAGAGATTCATCTGCTTCACCTAATTGATAATGTAAATTGCTTAATTTAAGATATCCAGCAGTATTATCAGGACGTAACTTTGTTGTTGCTCTTAAATCTCCTATTGCATTCATTAAATCATCGACACTTTCATAACATTCAGCCCTCATTTCTCTTAATTTAATGTCCCATGGACAGTCCTATATTGAGTTATTTTGAATTAAGAGAATTATAACTAAAATTCTTTGACAATATTATAAATGTTAAAAACTTACATGAATTAATTTGGTTAAAATATCAATTGCAGCTATATAATCTCTATCATGCATATACATATATGCCAATTCTATGCTATGTTTTAATGGCTCAATTAATGAGTAAACTCTTTGAGCTTCTTCATTCATAGGATCAATCCTAAGCTATAAAGGAAGATATTTATATTTATAAGATATTTAATATAATGTAAAATCATAATAAATATGTATAATTAATAAATCTGAACTTACAACCCATTCAAAATCTATATGAGCTTCATCTAAATATCCTTGTTTTAAAAGCACACTTCCTCTTTGTAATCTTGCCTGAAAATATACTAAGTATATTTACTATAATTTTGCATTATTCTGTTAAAAACGATTTATCAATGTCTTATTTAAAATCTGTTTAAAAACAATTTATAGATGAAACTTGACAAATTTAGATCTTTCCAAAATCAGTTTTAATTAGATAAAAGTTATATTCAATTAACTTAAATATATGGATTTTTTTATCAAGTTTCTTAAATTAAGTGTGATAAATCTAAATAATCATTTCTTCTTTTTTTTATTTTATATTTTATTTATTTGTTTCAAGATATAAAAATTTTATTTATCTATTCTTTATATCACAGTTAGCATGAATTATAACTTTAATAATATAAATTCATCATAAAAAGTAAAGAATTTTTTTTTAAGAATTCAATTCTCACCAAGCATTATTAAGTAATAAATGAACTGTAGGCTTCTGTAAAAGTGTTATACTCACTATTTTATTCATGTCAAAGAAAATTTTTCCCTTTTTTAAACTCTTGTTCATGTTAATATTTGCTATATAATTCAGTATATTAGTGACAGTTAACATCAATTTATTATAATTTGTTCATAACAGGGTGATGAATAGACGTTTTAAAAGGCTAATGTTAAAAAAACTACATTTTTTCATTCTGTACAGTTTATTAATTTTTACAATATAAATATAAAGAGTAACACAATACAGTAGACTAAGGAGTAAATGAAATGATACTAAATAAATAAATTTAATTTTTTAAATTCTTTCCAAATGAAGAAAGTTAAATCCCAAAACCCCATGTCCACAGGCTTGATTCTTGGTACATTGTAAAATGCATTTTGCTAATTTCGAAAAATGAATGAATGAAAAAATTACCAACTATGAAACCATTTCTATTTTAAATAATCATGCATCAATTTGATTCAATAAATCACATAGCATTATGTTATAAAAAATATGTATTCAATGTTTTCCTTCAGGGAAAAAATCTATTTACTTATTTATTTTGTGGAGGAGACGAAATCAATTTTTAAAATAGATATGCAATAAATTTAAACTATATTACATATAGAGCTAGCTAATTATAGTATTAGGGTTATAACATCTATTAATATTTAGTTCATTTTTTAACACACATTAATTTATGGTCTATACCAGTGGTTCCCAATTAGTTTTTCCTATGTACCACTTCAAGAAAGAGCTCAAACTTGCATACCCCTTATAGCAAAAATTCATATTAATCCATACTATTATTATAAATTTGAAGGCAATTCTGTCTGTCTGTCACCTTTTCACATCTAAACCACTGAACAGGTTTTAATAAAATTTGTCACAGAGACAGCTTACATGTTGGAGATGGGCATAGGCTACATTTTACTGCGAGAAATTATCTTACTCCCACAAGAAAATTCAATATAATGCAGGCGAAGCTGTGGGTAGACAGCAAGTGATAAATAGAATAAGTTTTTTTTTTACATTTATTACCTTTAAAATACAATTTTAATAATAATGAAAATAATGTAAGGTTATTTAATTTTAATGTGACAAATGTGCACGATTTTCTTTGCACAACTTTGTAAAATCTAGTAGCTTTTTGGTCAGCTTCATTCTCGAGTCATCTTTGAATCGAAGTCAGTGACAATGTTTAGTTTTCATGTTTGTCATGGCCGAAAATCCGCTCTCGCATAGGTATACTGTGCAAAATGGTAGTAAATATTTTATTGCTGCTTCACTGACATCATAAATTCTAGCCCGATTTAGAAGCGAGATGTCGCAATTGATTATTAAACTCAGTGAAGTCTCATTATACTCTGCGAGAAGTGGCATTGTCGCACGTGAGAAATAACAGCTACAAACATTTTCAAAATTAATTTCGCAAAAACAAATTGTGTTAATTGTACAATTTTTGTTTCTTGAGTAAGAATTTCATTTAGGTATTGTCAGAAATGCATTTTTTGATAAAATTTTGAGAATATTTTTAGTTATAAATAAATGAATTTGTGCATTCCACATCATGTTGTAAATTTTGATGGTCCACTCATTATTTTTTTGATTGCTTCATCTCATGCATTTAAATTTTAAATCGACCAATTTTAGATTGCTGCGCATAACCCTTCATGCAATTTCGCGTACCCTACCACTAATTGGGAACCATTGGTCTATAAATTTTAAATATTATTAATATATTAATAACTGTATATTTTGGTAATGTCTCCTATGTCCCTTTTGATTGTACTATTTAGTTTTTCTGTAAGATGTCTACTTTTACTCAATGAACCAATGAGTGAGTGAATAAATCAGTAAATGAGTGAGGGCAGTGTTTTTTTAATATACATATATTAATGATTTGATATTGAAAATATTCTCATATAACTAATTTAATTAATTATTCAAAATGACTTAAAAAAAAAAGTGTACAGTGCCTTTAATCCTCTATACCTGACTGCATCATCACAAGTATCCAGACAAGAGGAGTTTTACAAGGTACTAAAGGTTCCTTTAAATTATATTGTTGTTCCACAGGAAATTTTTCCCTTATGATATTGTAAAAATCCCTTATTACCATCACTATTACACTTACATTAATAAAGTTTCTTTTGATTTCAGTGCTTCTTCCTTGATACATAATTTTTTTGTCAATGATGAATGTTATTCAATAAACCATAAATTTCTATATAAGTGTTATTATTTTTTTTATATCATCTTCAATTTGGATAAATTCAAAAATTTAAACAGATTTCTTGATCATTAAAAATAAAGAAATTATTGGTAAATAAGATTTTATTAGTTTTCAAAAATTAATAAAACTCCAATAATGATTTCTACTTACTGCTAAGAAATCTGGTTTCAATTCAACAACTTTATTTAAATCTTCTAAAGCAGATTTGGATTTTCCTAATGCAAGATATACAGTTGCCCGTTTAAAATAAGTTAAATAATTTAATGGGTCTCCCTCTGTAAAATAAATATTATCATTAAATTATAAAGTTTAAAATATAATTAAATTATTAAAGTTTAAAATATAATTCAATTATTAATTTTTGCTATCAAATATAATTTAATGCACTATGGAATTTTATATCATTAATATAGCTGAAGAGTTTTGAAACTGATAAACCTAATTTTTGGTCAGCTGTTTTTGTTTACTGTAAATATATAATCTTTACAAATGATACTAGAAACAGATACATATCTTTAAGTACTATTCTTATCATCAAGTATGAATAGGTATTTCATATAGTTATAAATGACAGTGGTAAAATTTATTCATTAACATAACACTTTCTTACCTACTGCTGCATGATAATGAGACAATGCATCACTATATTGTCCTCGTGCTAAGAGCTGTCTTCCAAGTTCTAAGTGGGCTTCAATTTCAGCTGGAGATGTAGACTCAATACCTAAAGATTAAAAAATAATATTTTTCATTAGTTTATAATATGAATTCTATCAAATAATTTTAAATTTTAAAATGAAATATTAAAAATCCATCATTATTACTTCATGCCATGAAGAGTGCATTGTTTAAAAACTCATATTTTAGAGGACAGATCTTAAATCTATTGAAGAGAAATAGTCATTTGCTATTCAATTCAATACATTTAAATATGAAAAAATGTTATTTATAAAATAATAAATAAGAAATTAAATTCTATTACAATTAGAATCATTAATTTTATGTTTATATTAAAGATATAGTTTTATTTTAAAATTCTAATAAAACAACAATTTTTAAATTTTATTTAATTAATTAGTTTTAACTGCTGACAAAGGAGGTTATAAATATATCTATTATAGAGAATATTTTAAAAAATTTAACTAGGATTATTTTATAATTTAGATAGTAATGGAGTATATATTATATATTTGAATGTCATTTTACGAAAAGACTATTTAAATGGAAGTTGTTTTTCTTAACAATATTGCACATAGATTAAAAATATTACAAATAAAACTTTTGATATTTTAAGAAAATTTTGCGTTATACTTTGAACTATATATATCTTGGCAAAAGCCCAATTAAGTTAGCATATAACCTATTAGAGAGGCTTAAATAGGAATATTTTGAAAACATATACAAAATATTTTGAAATTAATGCTTTTTAAGTTTCTGTGAACCATTTTATAATTACCCATATTAAATTTGCATATTTAAATACAAAAGGACATGCTTAATTTTGGGTCTAAAAATTTCTTTGGAATCTTTAACAGTTACTTATTCTATTTTATATTTTAATTTAAATTTATTTTAAAGATAAACAGTCTTTTCATCTTTTCATTTATTAAAATTCTACTTTGTTGATGAATTTTATATATTACTATATAAACTAAAGGCTTTGCCCACTTCTTTCCTATATAAGTTATTCATAATAAAAAGTCCATAATTCATCAATTCCCAGTACTGGCCCCCTTTTTTCTGACAGAAAAACATTCATGATGATTGTAAGCTAGTATTTTGTATACATAGAATAGATAACATTTTCATTTGTTAAAATTTATGTAATACCTTAAGAATTATGTCATAATGAATGTTTAGAAAGGCTGAATGATTAAGTTTTGATTAGCAGAAATAAATATAATCTTTTTTATAAATGTAATAACAGTAAGCAAAAATATATTTGAAAAAAATCTATAAAAATCAAAAATCTGTATACAATGATATGAATAATTCAATCAAAAAATAAATTTCCATTATTATATGTATTACAAATTCTTACAGTAAATGAAAAACAAATACAGTAATATTAAAAAGGAAGGAGAATTGTTAAAAAAATAATATTATAATATAAATGTAATTTTAAATTCAGTTAAACTCGTCAGTTAAAGAAATCCTAAATTTAATAGTGAATAAACATTCAGGAATTTTTTCTTCAACTTAAGATTCTCTCTCTATTTTTTAAATATGCTGCTTATTCTTATCTGCATCATTATATTATTTGTTTTGTTCTCATCAATGAAGGAAAGATTTGATCATTTTAATTTTGTTAAATCTGTTCAATTTTGTAATACTAGATAATCTGAAGATGAGAAAAGACACTTGAAAATATTTATCTGCTATTAACTGAAATACTTATTACAAATTTGAGAAATCCTCACAAAATATTAAAGCATAAAATAAAGATAATTCTAGATATAGTTATAGATAGATCATTGAGAATATATATAACTTCATAATAAATAAAATTTCTGAAATTCAGAAAAATGTTCCACATACCTAGTAGTAACAAACTATACATTTACAAAATAAATCTAACATTCATCATATTTCTCAAAAAACACACGCAACACCAAAGAACAACACTACACCTTAAACTGTTTAATACATCCATCAAAACAAATCAAATATGCATAAAAAGAAGAATTTTCAAAACAGCCTCTAAGTATTTTCTGGTTCTATCTAGCCCCGAATCCTTTTTCAAGCAAAGTTAAGCAATACAAAAAATGAATACATCAAACATTATATACAGTAATACCTCAACTTACGCTACCCCGACTTACATGAACCCGGAGTTACGCGATTTTCAAATCTCATCGATTCGTCTCTTGTTTGAGCGCCACGCAACTCTTGATTACTCACTCCTCCCACGCTATTGTTCTGCTTACATGTTCGGACGTGTCGTGCGGAATCGACACATAGCTACAATTTATTTTGTGTTATTTATTTCTGTGTTTGTTATATCTATGGAGACTTGAGAGAGACTATATGGTGATTTCTTGTAACCGTGAACGAATCAAAAGAAGAGATAAGATTAACGAGAACATTTATTAGCTTACATACATCCGACTTGGATTTTACATAAATTGCGAAATTATACTCCGACTTACGCGGTTATCGCTTGGTCCCACCTATTGCGTAAGTTTGGGGTATTACTGTATACTGTATACTACACTGCATTGAGTTATTTTTCCACATCTTATATGCCATACATGGATGATATTAAAAAAATATTTAAATTATACCTGTCCACAAAAACCTTTATCAGTGTTGTGTTCGTTACAATATCCACAACACTGATAAAGGTTTTTTGTGAACAGTTATTAAAGAGTTTAATTGATACACACAGTAAATAGAAGTCCTGCAGAGAAAAACACAAATATTAAATTCACTAGCAGACCCCGCCACGCGTTGTTGTGGCTCAAAATGTATCTATTATAAATGTATAACACTTCCCCCGTGGGGGGGAATTTTTCGAAAAATTTCTTCTTAGTGTACATTCTCTTGACGTACCCAATTAAAACACAATCAAACACGCAAAAACCTGCATCTAAAATAATATAATAGAAGCCAAGTTCTTCACGGTAAGCCTTAATTCTGTCCCTCCCCCTGTGGGGAATATCGAAAAATCCCTTCTTAGTGTACATTCTGTTGACGTATCCTATTAAAACACAATCATAAATGCAAAAACCCACATCTAAAATAGTATAAATAGAAGCAGAGTTCTTTACCGTAAGCCTTAATCCTAACCATCTCCCTTCAGTGGGGGGAATTTCGACACGTATATTATATAAAAACATGTGCGTATTCGAATGCAGCATTGTGTCAAAATTTCAAAGGAATCGGTAGGAACAAACGAACATTACATTTTTATTTATATAGATAGATAGAAGATGATCTGTTTTAGTTCATTTTCATAGAAAAGCAAACTTAGGGCGACATACTCGTAGCGCCATCTGTTGGACATAAAAGCCTTAACTATAGATGATATCATTTAATTTATATGAATGTTTAACGGAATAATATACAGCCTATGTCCACCCTGATGTTCCATTCTAAATATTGGTGAAAGAATTTTTGAAATCAGATGAGTAGTTTCGGAGATTACCTGCTGCAAAGAAACTTACATACATACATACAAACATTACCTCTTTATAATATTAGTATAGATAAACATATCCAAAATCTGCCCACAACAGGATTGAATTCTTTTGTAGCAGATCCTACAAATAGAGAGAGAGAGAGAGAGAGATCTTACTGAAAAACTTCTATCACAAAGAATACAGAATTGCAAGGATTCTAAAAAAAAAAAAAAAACAATAAATCTATCAGATAAACATTATACCACTATACCTTCATACAAATACATAACATATTATTTTCATCTGATTTTATGAGTATAATAACTTTGTGACAACAACAGAGTGAATTGTACATTCAAACAAGATGACTCAAATTGATCATCATAATAATGTTTATTCAACGTATTAACATGCTGAAGAAAAGGTTTATAACTTACACGTAAGTAAAGTACAATCTAAATATATAAAATTACATGTCCTGACTGACTGACTGATTCATCATTGCCCAGAGCAAACCAATTAACCTAAAGAGGTGAAATTTGGTACACAGTTAGGGTATGTCATGCAAATGCACACAAAGAAGAGATTTTTTTGAAATTCCCCTGCAGGGGAGAGGGAGAGGATTAACACTTAACCCGAAGAATGGCTTTTACTGTACTATTTTAGATGCAATTTTTTGTTTTTATCTGCTAGATTGCTAGACAGAATAATTGCGTATAGTGAGGAATATGATCCTCTTTTGAATATAACAAAAACAAAGCTTATGAAAATGACTAAGGACATCAGCAGTAACAATAATGAAGCTTTACAGTTAAAAGATAAATAAGCTGAAAAAGTACAAAGATAAGGCTATTTGGGTACTGTGATCAATGTAAACAATGTACAGAAGAAATAAAAGCGAGGATAGAAAAAGCAAGAGCTAATTTTATCAAAATAAAAAGTATTTTGCAGTAAAGATTAAAACTTAAACGTCCACATTTCTGAATATAACAACTTTGTCAGAAAAATAGTATGTTTGTTTCGTGCTTGAAAAAATATTTATTAAAAATTGAATTTATGCTAAGTTTAAATGAAAATCAGATGAATACTGATTAGTTTCTATTGGGTTGTTCGGAAAGTAATTTCATTTCTTTTTACCACTAGATGGATTAGTCATATTTTTCCCACCATTTTTATTCTAAACAGTATTATCATTATATATTTTGACAGCTAGCATTTTAAGGCTTATTTGTAAAAAATTTTGTTTGATTTTGTGCAATTGTTTATTTTTTGTGTCCCATCAAATATGGAAGATCAAAAGCAGCATTTTCGGCATATTTTGCTCTTTTATTACCGAAAAGGTAAGAATGCTGTTCAGGCGAGAAAAAAATTGTGCGACGTGTATGGAGAAGATGTGTTGACAGAACAGTGCCAAAACTGGTTTACAAAATTTTGTTCTGGCAATTTCAATATTGAAAATGCACCATGTTCTGGATGGCCAGTTCAAGCCAATGAAAACAAAATAAAAGTGCTGATTGAAGCAAACTGCCAAATAACAACATGTGAAATCACTAAGAGATTAAATTTGTCAAATTGAAATGTTTATGATTACTTGAAACAAATT